CTAGTTACTCTAGATCCCCAGGACTTATTTTTCCTGCCCAACTTAAACTCTGTACCCCTTCATCAAGGTTTTCCTCCTTCTAACTCCTGGTATCACCATTCTGCTCTATTTTTAGGACCATGGCATTTTTAGATTCCACGTATAAATGGGATTTGCAGTATTTGTCTCCCTACATCTGGCTTATTTCAACTACCATAATGTCTACCAGGCTCATTCGTGTTTTTGCAAATGGTGACATTTTCTCTTTTTATGACTGAATAATAGTCCATTATATGTATGTATATACATATCTCTTATTTCCTTATTCATTCATTCATTGATGGACATATGGTTTGTTTATGTATCTTAGCTGTTGTGAATAATGCTGAAATGAACATGGGAAGGCAGTATGTCTTGGAGATTCTGATTTAAGTTCCTTTAGAAATAGAAATGGGATTTCTGGATCATAAGGTTATTTAAAATTTTTTTTGAGGAACTTTAATACTGTTTTCCAAAAGCAAATAAAGAAAGACGGTCTCTTCTCTAAGTGGTTCTGAGATAACTAGACATCTACATTTGGAGGAATAAACTCAAACCCTGTCTCACACCATAGGAAAAAATTAACCCAAATGGATCAAAGACTTAAATGCAAGACCTAAAACTATAAAACTACTTGAAAAAAGCAGGAGAAAACCTTCTTCATATCGATCTGGGTGATGATTATTTGGATATGAGACCAACAGTATAGGAAACAGAAGCAAAGCAGACAAATGAGAATGCAGAGGTTTTATCTTTGATCATCCATCTGTGAAAATTACTGTGACCCAGAAGTAGCACTATGGTCAGTGATGTGAGAGAGGAAGCCAAAGTGTCATTCAACACAGTGACACTTTTGGGTGAAGACAAGAGATTCTGACCACCCATAGAAAGTTGACACCACACCAAACCCAAATTCAGAGACTCTGGCTGGCATAAATAGCTCTTAGAATAAAGGCTTATGGATAGGAAAAGTCAAGGAGGTAAAACTTTCCTCAGCACCCTTCCCTCCTGTCTCCTTGTTGCTACCCCCATAGCATTCAGGGTCTCTGGAGGCTCTGATGGACATATGGACACACTATTCATTTCTGTCGCTGATAATGCAAAAGAGGCAGCAACTCCTCTTATTAATTTTGGAATTAAAATCAAGGATATTCCCTCACTGGGTTCTGTCTTTCTAGGACAGGAATATACGAGGTGCCAGGGCCCTGATCTCTTCACAGTTCTCCTGAAGACCACTTCTAGAAAGCACACTAACAAAGCATGTGGCTAACTTTGCCATGTGAACACGTACACAAAATAACTGGAAAAGCACATGATTAAAATTATCGTATCAAACTACATTTCAAAACGAACTGACAAAGAATGCATTTAAAGGGAATCATGCTGCAGTTTGTAGCAGGAAGATCTTGCAGTTAAAGAATGGACTGTTTAAAAGGGGAAATAGTTTACATTGGATTCTACAAGTCCATGTAAAAAACTCTACACGGATTTGAATTTATGGGGTTGGCTGAGTGGGCCAGCAAGCAGGTCAGCATCCACCAAGTACACAAAACTTCAGCTGAGCAGCGGGCTACCTGCCCACACCCTTCTCGATGCCTTCTCTTTTGGCCATTCTAGAACTTCTGGCCTTTGGAGAGCAACGCAGGGGAACAGATCAGGATTGTGAGAGGAGCTCTTAGAGGAGAGAAGGCCTCTGTGATCACTTGAATTTGAGCTCTCATTTCTACTTCCTGCTGCTGCAACTGGATGACATTATTTGATTTTTCTCCTATCCCAGGAACTTCACATTATCTATATAGCCCTTCCACTAGCCTTAAAAGAGAAAATTTTTCTCTATTTTGTTGAGCTAGACCTCAAAGCAGACAAGTTAAAATCCAATCCATGTCACACAGCTGGTAAGTTGTAAAGATCTCACAAAGATGTCTGACTGTACGCTGGATCCCTGCCTTCTGTACCCATTACTCCTTAAGGATGGTGAAGTGACCTCAGAACACAGAAGATCTTGGCAATCACCAGGCGACTTATGACACATTTGAAAATATTTTTAAAAAACCCATATAATTCCAGCTGATTATTCAGAGATAGATTCTCATTTCTCTTTGAAGGTGCAAAAGGTCATCCCTGTGGCCCTAAGCAACACTGCAAGCTCCTATCCAACTTTCTGTCCCTGTATTTTTTAGAGTAATTATGCCTCATCTCTGTGGGTTTCCCCATTGATATTTATGCTTTGTTGATTTTTCTCCAGATGCATTAAGGGCACTTGTCCAAATTAAATATCATTTTATTACTTCCTGCCTCTTATTTTAAAATTCTCTTTGTCTTTACTCTCCATGGATGTTGCATTATATTCCAATTAATATCTTATAAATATTGGCTGCAAGCTATTAAGTACATATCCATGTCACTAGGTGATAAGCTCAAGGCACTCATGGCTACCTAGGGATTAGACCTTAATCATAGGTAATGCTTGGAATTAACAAGTGAGGGATATATCTAACTTTTGACTTAAACACCCAATTCACCAACCCACCTGGGCCAATAGGCAGAGGGTGCACAATTGTCTGTAGCTCAGAAATAAGGAAATGAAGGCCAGCGAGGTTGTGAGACTTGCCCAGGCACATGCAATGATATGACTATGACTATGAAAGATCAAAACCATTCATGCCTGAAATACATTTTATGTATTTAAGTGATTGACACTTAAAAAATTAAATTGCACTTTATTTGCTGGCATAAAAACAGCTTTTAAGTTTTTCTTTTAAGTGAGTTATGCTTTTGTGGGAGTGGATCTGGGTAAAATGCTGACACCAGCTGTTTAGCGAAGCATGTTTTCAGTCTCTGGGGCTTCTACTTTTGTTCCTTATATTATTTCAGTCTAGCACCACATTCCTCTAGAAGATTTAGAGTCTCTAGCTGCTCTTGTCCTCTTCCTCCCAACACCATCTTCTAGGTTCTGATTTTGGAGCTCTGGCCTCTTGATGCTTCTCAAATCACAGCTTGACTATGAAGATCCTTTGCTCCTGAGGTCAAAGGTCTAGCTCTTGTGGATTTCTCAGTCTGGGGTATTTAAGTTCAAAGTTCCTTTAGCAGAGAACAAAGCTTTAATTCCTCATTCAGAGCTGGGATGGAAGCGTGTGCTTCGGAGAGGTGGCACTTTAATTTAGAGCCACACGAAGAGGTCTGTGACTGATGCTGTGTCTGTTCCTAAACTAGTTTTATTGAGCATAGAGAAGGAAAGTATCATCAAGGACTGGTACAGACGGGATGCCCATAAGAGCATAGAGGAACACAGGAAGGAGCCGAGGAATGCTCACCTTACAACTGGTGGCAAAGAACAGTTAAAAATCATTGCTGATCTTACACTTACTCGGAAGGTAATCTCCCACATGGCACACACTTCTCACATTGATCGTTCTTCCCAAAAATTCTTGGTTTGGACTAAAAAAAAAAATCAAGTCTAGTTATTCATCACTGAGAGGGTGTGGAGAAATTGATAGTGAAAGTCAGTATATGCCTTTGAAAGCAACTGTGATTTAGGGTGAAGATCATGAACATATCTTTGCCTTGAAATCAGTAATCACTCTTCCAGTCAGCTAGCCTAAGGAAAGGATCCCAAACAGGGGATATGGTATATAACCTGCACACCTGCTCTGCAGTGTAGAAGTACAGATACTAACACATGCTCTAGTTAGTCACTTGAACTTCAGTGCTTTGTTGGCAGCCAAGTGATGACTTTTAAGCTCTTAACCAAGCGCATATCAACTGGTCAAGAATCCTGGAAGCTTAGTCCAAAGAGGATCAGAGAAAGAAGACCGTCACATGAATCCACAGTAGAAGCAGCAATTTCTATTACTGTTGCTTCTGCCATTATTACCAGATTCACTGTTGAAAGTAGCTCAGGTCATCTGTGTCCAACGTCACACCAAAGTCACTGTTAGACTCAGCAAATGCCACAGGAGACCTGTGAGGCCTTGGGGCTTAGTTTATTAACAGTCTCCACACTTTGGCTCCCAAGTGTCCAGCTCTGAGGTCTGTGTTGCTATGCTTTGCCATTCTTAGAGGACAAGAGCTCTGTGCCAGGGTACGTGGATCCAGAGGCTTCCAGCCACAGCTGTACCATGGGTCTAACCATCCACCATGTTTCGTCAGGTCTATAGCAGGAGTCTTCCTTTCTTCCAGTTTGGTATTCATCAAGTTCCTCAGGTGCTCTTTGTTCTGAGTACATCTTATTCCTCCATCATTTTTGAAAGATAGTTTTGTAGGGAATATCAGTCTGGGCTGGAGGTTGTTTTCCTTTATGGCTTGAAATACTTCTCCCCAGGCTGTTCTTGATTTGAGGGTTTGTATTGAGAAGTCTGCTGTGATTCTGATGGGCTTTTCTATGTATGTGATTTGTTTCTTTTCACTGACTGCTTTTAATATTTTGTTCTTCTGTTGGGTTTCTGGAATCTTGACTCTTACATGCCTAGGTATAGAATTTTTTGATCACAGCTAGCTGGAGTCCTATATGCCTCACTTATTTGTATGTCAAATTCTTTTCCCCTGCTTGGAAAGTTTTCTGCCTCTTCTCCTTCTCCTTCCCCCTCTCCTTCTCATCCCTCTCCCTCTCCTTCCTCCTCCTCCTCCTCCTCCTCCTCCTCTTCCTCCTCTTCCTCCTCTTCCTCTCCTTCTTCTCATTCTGGTACTGGGGATTGAACTCAGGACCTCATGCTTGCAAGGCAGCTATGGTGCCACTGAGCTAAATCCCCAGCCCCAATGCCATTACCTCTGTGAATAGTTGTTTTTATGTCATTTGCGTTATCTCCTGCTTTTTCATTGACTGTCGTTAGTCTTATGTTATTCTTTGTATCATCTAGCAGCTGCTGGATTGATTTCTCACGGTTCCTTTTATTTTTAAGAAATCTTTCTTTTCATGGTCTCTAAGCATAATCCTGTCTTCCATGTCTGATATTCTGTCCTCACATTGGCTTATTCTCTTGTGTAAAAATATGGAATGTGCCATGAATTTGGGCATTATTCTTGCACAGGTTCTATGCTAATCTCTGTATCATCCCAATTTTAGTATACATGCTGCTGAAGTGAGCACCTTCCTTTACTCAGGGACTGTTGTGTCAAGGGCCATGATCTTTCCTGACCATAGGTCCTAGAAGGTGTTGCAACAGTGCACTCCTTTTGTTTCTCTAGCTTTGAACAGCAGGAAGTAGGTTTAGATATTAGTTTTTTTTTTTTTTTTTGTCTATGATAGGATCTGCTTCTCAGGCAAATTAACCACCTGCTACCTAATGATCAGCTTTGTACTTTGATGGCTCTCACAGAGCGACAGTTTTGATAGAATTCTATTGTACCTGTACATCACAATAATGGATAAGCTATTTCTCCCTGATTGTATAATTAAAACAGCCACTCAATGAGATTTTCTACAACAACAATGCCAAATAAGCTTCTCTAGTTGAAAAACAAAAATAAAGCAACTAACTATATCTGCATGGAGAAATACATTGAAAATTCTAAAAGTCAAGAATGAGAAGAATCCAAAGATGTGACATCAAGAAGACTGGGTTTAAAGTAAATTAGGATATATCTACTCAAAGAGGCAATGAGTAGCTTTAGAAATGATAAGTATGAAGGGTATATGAAAACATGGGCATTTTCTAAAATTTATCACGTTAAAATGAACAAAAGACTCATCAAATCAAATGTCTAAATGGAGCTTTTGATTTTGTTAATGATTTGTTTGGAGAAATGAAGAGAGGACTTAAAGATGACTTCTAAATGTTTGGCTTGAGCACTGAGACGAATATTTGAAACTGTTTACTAACCCAAGGAAGGACTGGGGTAGATATTGGTAAACAAGACCTTTGTCTCTACCAAGTTGGAGAAACTTCTTAGCCATTCGCAGAATGATAGGAGCAGGAGTGGAACACTGGAACTTGAGCTCAGGGGAGAGTTCAATAAGATCAAGATTAGAATTTTTTAAAATTCAAAAGTCACTCCTAGTAAACACAGGAATGAAAGAATTCGCTTGGGAAGAAGGTATAGATGAATGGTATGAAACCTTCTGGAACTGCGCCTGGAGTCATTCCAACATTTAGAGACCAGAGAGAGAAAGGAGGGGGAAAAAGCCAGAGGCAATGCAGCCAGTCACGAGAGAGGAGAAAGTGATGTCATGAAATTGGGAGAGGCCAGTACTTCACGGAGGATAGAGTGCTCATTGAGGGTGAATGATTTGAAAAGCTGGATGAGATGAAGACACATTGTGACCACTGGGTCGGGTGAAGGAGTTTGTTCAGGATATTGAAGAGAGTAGATTCACGGCCTGGAGGAAAGGCAGGCCTGCCAGAATTGGCCAAGGAAAAGCCGTGAGAAAGCACATAGCGACTGTAGACAGCTCTTTGAGGAAGCTGTGCGTGCTGTGAGAGTTGGGAAGGGGGCTTGTGTCTGGAGCGGACATGATGTCAAAGGATTCTTTTTTATGAAACGCTAGAACATGTCTGATGGCTCAGGAAGATGATCCAGGAGGGAAGGAGCAATTCATCATGCGGGGGAGAGAAGGGTTAACCGCAGGAGAAAAGACCTTGAGAAGGACAAGGGGATGGTATCCATGGTACAAGTGGAGAGACTGGTCCTTAATGAAGTAGGCAGGTTTTCTCTGTGGAACTATGGAACCCTGGTGTACACATGAAGACTCCTGGCACACATATTAACTTCTCAGCAAGTGTTTGTTATATTATTATAAATGTCGGCCTCCTTGAATGACCACGAAGAACACCTGTTGGCCAGCCCAACTCATTGCTCCAAAGTCAAACCTGGAGTGACTGCGCTGGTAATCAGCATATCCTAGACAAAGAGGACAATAATGAACTGAGACCAAGATGCCACCCTTCTTTGCTGCAGCTCTACTCAGAAGGAGCATCCTGCTATGTGAGAGACACCGAGAGGTTACGCTGGGAAGACGGAAAGACCTGGTAACGAACACATCACGGATACAATGTTGAATTACTCATTTCCTTTTTCACCGGCTTGTGTTTCACTATTAATAATGCTCTTAAAAGCTCCAGAGAGTGGCAGCCTGGGGAATGGGGAATGTGGAGAAAACCACAGCCTCAAAACCTCTGCTTTTGTGCAATCGAGATGAAAACTGCTTTCACTGCAGAAACACATACCCCAGAAGAATCATTTCACTGACTCCTGTGGAGAATTCCTCACCAACTTGGGGAAGTCCTGAGGGGACCCAAGTTACAGCTGTTGTTCCAGAAAGTTCTGTATGTAAGCTGGGAACTCAGAGCTTTATCTGCAAGGAACATAATTTGTTATCATTAGACTTCACTGTCAAAACAGAGTGAATGGGTGTTCCTTGCCAAATAGCTGATGAAAATGTCCTTGTCCTCAAAAATATTGTTAAAAAAGGAAAGATTTCTACAGAAAACACAAATCCTCCACCAAGGCTTTAATAAACAAACAAACAAACAAAAAACTAGCTGGGTGTGGTGGTGCATGCCTGTAACCTCAGCACTCAGGAGGCTGAGGCAGGAGGATCACTGTGAGTTCGAGACCAGCCTGGGCTATATAGTAAGTTCCAGGTCAGTCTCAACTACGTAGTGAGACCCTGTCTCAAAACAAAAACAAAAACAACCCCCCCAAAAAAACCAACCAAAAAAACCCACCAAATAACTCAATAAAATTTAAAATATAAACAACAGCGCATCAGACAGGAGGATTCTTAGTTACAAGGCAACAGAAGACAGCTCTAACAGAGTTATGCAGAAAAATAATTTAAGAGAATAGTGGAAATGACCCCGATGTCTAATGATCCCAATGTTTATTTAAATAGAATGACTAAATGAGTTGTATTATCGTCATATAATGGACTGTATAAGAGTGAAATAAGAAAAACCCACCAGTACATGCAACATAAATATATCTCCCAGGCACGATATTGAGTACAAGAAGCCAGACTGGATGTACTGAATCCATTTATAAAGTTCAGAGACAGGCAAAACGAGTTGGAGGTGTTACGGTCAGCATAGTAATTAACTTCTGGTGACAGAAAGGCTGAAAAGGGACACGAGGGGGATTCAGGCGCTAGTTACCCAGGTGTGCTCAGTTTGGGAAATTCACGGAACTGTACACTTGTGATTTTGGCCTCTTCATGAATAAAGTCACGGGAGAAAGCAACACAAGTGGAAGGTGGGTCAAAAATTACTGGTAAGCCCTGAAGACACAAGTTTGGGCCTCGAGTCCAATCATGCTTCCCAGATCTGTCACCAAACACCGCAGCCCTGGGTGCTCTCTTCTCGGTGGAGACACACATATCACGGCCCACGTTTGCTGGTTTTATTTCTCCCCAGTTGGAATGCGAGCTGACAGCCGGCGCAGAGTAGGTCTTCAGGAATATTTATTAAGAGTGGTTGCACTGTTCATAGCTGAGCAGAACTCCCCTTCTGGCGGTTACATTCTTTCTCTGGATATGTTAATCTCATTAACTGGAGTCCAGCCAAGCCCGCTCTCCCAGAAACACACTTATTGTTTAACGTGATTTCCTGTATTTCTTCTCTGGTTATCAGCATCGACTTAAAATTTGATTCTCATAAGCCAATCTTATTTCCCGTAATTTCAAGTTCATAGCAGCGGCGTCGTCCCACTGTATCTCCTCCCTGCACACTCACAACAGAAAGATGTAGCGTCTTGGTGCTCACGCCGCTTGGTCCAACAATTCTCCCCCGCTGGAGCCGCCGCGAGTTATGAGGAAGAGGGTGAGGGATGGGAACTCAGGGAAGAGCGATGGGGTGATTTCCTGGACCTGGACCAGGCCGCCGCACAAGCACCATCTGTGTTTATTGTTTCAGGCCCACGGACGCCATATCATTCGTTTTAGGGCCGGTTGCGGAATTCAGCAGTGGAACTGTGCCCTGCTGCTGCACTTTCTGTTATTGAGGATGTTTTAGGAAATAACTGAATGAACCGTCAGACGCAGAATCCACGGTGTGTAGACTGCTAGCTTTGAGCCTGGGCTTACTTCTAAATAGGCGCGTGTCTGCCCGGCCCTTGTTGGACCCTGAAAGCCTTGTGTGGCCCGCAGTGGTGGTCTGCGCGGTAGGCTGAGTGGACCTTTGTACTCACAGCTTTTCAGGGGAGGGGAGGACAAAACAGAGAGGGCATGGGTTGCTTCTTGTGACTTTATGTGGAATCCTCACACTTCCACAAAAGTTGCCTTTCTTCGTCCCACAGTTGGAAAGTCAAAGAAAGTTCTACATCACCATTTTGGTTTTTAAAAATTAGTGATGTGTGTTCTATGAGTACATGCTTATGGTACATAATGATTCCATTTATCGATTGCACATGTACATGACACATCTTAATTCATTTTTGTTCATTTCCCCTCCCATCACTTCCTGCTCCCTCAAACTCGTCATTTCCTTTCCATTTCCTATTTCCTTCCATCCTCTTTTTAAAAATCCTTTTTCCTTTCCTCTCCTCCCCCCTCCATTTCTTGTTCCTTTTCCTATTTGAAAAGATCTCCCTACTTCCTTTCCCATGTAAAAGAAACCGTGCAACATTTAAACATGCATGTCTGATTTATTTCACTTAAAATTATGGTCTCAAGTGCATCCATTTACCTACAGATACCTCAAGCTTATCCTTCTTTATGGCAGAGTAGTGCTCCATTGTATATAAATGCCATGCCTTCTTTATCCATTCATCTGTCGATGAACATATAGGCTCTTTCCAAATTTTAGCCATTATGAATTGTGCTCCCACAAACACGGGCATGCACGTTTCATGATAACTTTAACTCTTGGGAAGATTCCTGGCAGGGGGAATAACTGGGTCAAATGGAATTCCTTTTTTTTTTTTTTTTTTTTTGGTACTGGGGATCAAACTTGGGTCCTTGTGCTTGCGAGGCAGGCAGTGAAACAACTGAGCTACATCCCTAGCCCATTGGAATTCCTATTTTTAATTTTTTTGAGGAATTTCCATACTGATTTTCATAGTGGTGTACTGCTTTACATTCTCACCAACGTGTTCTTTTTCTCTGTAGCCTCATCAGAATTTGCTATTATTAGATTTTTTTTTTTTATGGTAGCC